TTATTGGTTAAACCCTCTCACGTGACTGTTCACCTTCTGATTATCTTCGCTTAGGCGTGCGCAAAACTACCAATGAGTCCGTATTTCATAGAAACCTAAATTCACGATACACCGGCCTTAATTGGTAACGTTTTGCCTTGCCTACAATGTATCCGTGTTCAAAGGGACCCAGTTCAACCGGTGGACCGGTGTTGAATTTCAACACGGGTAGGTGAGACGATGGTGTGTAAAGGCCTTATATTATGTCCATCACCCATCAGTTGCATGTATATTGAACAATCAAAGCAATGCTCACATTGTTACATTTTACACAAAGAAGAAGGGATGAATTTGATTGATTCAAAATTTTGCAAAGTTTGGTTACAACCACGGAGCCGACTGCTGACTACAGTCCTAGGAGGAACTGATAAACCAGAGGGGTTAAAAAAAATTATTATAGTACTTTTTTGGCCCAGATTTTAAAAATATCATGTTATTTCCATTTCCATACATACAGTTTCATTTCTATTTGCACTTGGGGGAACAGTAATGAAAGACAATTTTGTCAGTTTACGTGTAAATTAAACATTTGTAGTTCAAAAAAAGTATTTTACTGGTGCATGCAATATATGCACGTAAACCACATTTGATTCACCAAAAATCTCAAATTTAGCTCTCCAAATTTGATCCACTCCAAATGTAACACCATTTAAATCTGATCTCAATACCACATGCTTGAAAACAAAAATTTATATTTGTCGCATCAAATGGTACCAATTGATACAAGCACCCAGAGTAAAGATTTCATTTCACATGAACTCCAAACGTACATAATCCGTTTATGTACAGAGGTAATTACGTGTTTGCCCAGAATTTAATCATTTTGATCAACGGACTGCACACATCAGGAGTGCACACCTGCCACTTCTTTTGACAAAAACTTACCAAGCGCTAAATACAGCTGGCACGCGACTATTGTGAGGCAGGGGTCCATGAAGATTGCAGGGACAAAAGACCGGTGATGAATGGAGCAAACAAGGCAACAAAAGAATGACCAATTGGGTACATGTTTGTTTTGTTGTTGAAAGAAACCCATCAGATGAAGCAGTGTTAAAGCAATGCTCAATACCTGTAAGAGTGTCATGCGTGTATGTATACATTGTATAATATCTTCTTTGGTTCTGAAATTTCAACTATGGTACATGACTTGAAGTTTAGCATGTTGAGGTCATAAAGTGGAAGTTTTTGGCGATACCAAGGTACCAGTAATGCTTTTGCTGTAATTTTCAGAAATGGATGGATTTGAGGGTTAGAATTTTACACAAATATAGACTTTACACTGACTTGTTTGAAGTTTTGTGTTAGTACTTCGTAGATACTGGAAAAAGCAAGAGAAACAATCGTTTTTTGTGATGTATCTCGGAAAGACCTCTTTCTGTGATATCAGAAGTCTTTTCTAGCCATCACTGATGGTCACTTAAAATATCCGGAGTTTAGACATGCAAAATTACGAGATGATAAATTGATTTTGTGAGGTTTACTCTTAAGTTCTGTGTGTATATTTTTTTATTGATAGGATTTTACTATTCAACATTATCATATTCTCTATATATGTTGAGTGTTATCAGACAGCTTGTAAAACAAATTGACGTGCAGGTTTCTTGCCGAGGATAGACCCTCAATCTAATGCTTATAGTGCAGATGAAGCCTGACCAAGTCACCTGGCCAATTTGAATCCCATATTTCAGCAGCAGTCACTCCAATTTCATCATTTACATTGTAAGTAAAGAAATTCAGTATTCAGTTTGTGGCATCGTGTTACAATTTCTAATTAGCTAAAGAGACTCAGCAATCCTCAAGGCCTTCTAGACCTTTTGACTGCATGTGTCATCATCAACGAAAAATGAGGATGACGGGCTGCATTCCACAGAATAGTCATCATGTAAATGCTGAGGGATATTTGAAGAGGCGGCACAAAGGAAAGCTCAAAATTCTTCCCCGATTTCATTCGCCAAGCAAGCAGTAAGAAAAGACTGCTCGTCTCTCCAAGGAATTTTACTGAATGGAATGTCTTGCCTCAAGATATCAGACAATCAATTAATAGAAGAAATATTATATAAAACTCAACTCCAACTCCATTAATTCAACTTTCATAAATACCTTATAATAAGATAGTTTACCCATTCCTATTGGTGGAGAGCCTGTCACGTTTTAAAGGGTTGATAAAACACTGACTGGTTTTAAACACTTTTTTTTCCGGCACCGCTGTGTTCTGCACCACTCACGCAGTATGCGCACACCAATCTTCATATGATCTAATCGTGCGAGGTACATACATATGTAGCTAGAGGGGTGTTTCCCAAAACATGAGGTAAAATTGTTGAACAAAATCGTTGGAAATTTAAACGTTTTTTGAACTTGTTTTAACTTTTTGACCGAAAGGTATTTATAAATTGGAATAAACGTGCTTGACCGGTATTAAACAAGTACGTTTAAAACCAGCTAGGGGCCTGGTCGCCGATAATGGTTCAGCTCCTGCTCAGGCTAATATCCGCTTACAAGGTTTTAAACATACTTGTTTAAACTAAAGCCGGCCAAGGGCATATTTATTCCCTTATTTTTAATGTGGATGTACGCAGTCAAGCAACCTGGGCCCAATTTCATGGATAGGCTAACCACAGAATTCCAAGCTTACGACCACCATTTTGTGCTAACAATGCTGGCAGAAAAAAATTGTGCTATTCCTGTAAGCACAGAATCCTAAGGGGATGAACACATGCACAGAAGCCAACATTCCTCCCTATTAAAACCTGAGATATACGCTTACCATAAAGATAAGCAGTGATTTTTTTTTGCTAACGGTATAAAGCAGAGCCAGGAAATTGGGCCCTGGAGACAGACAGAGCATAGAGCAAGGTGCATGTCACACCTGAATACTACTTCCTGTCCTCCCTGCTCTGTGAAAAAAACCTGGAAGTTTCTGACTAGTTGGAACAGAAGCAAGCACATTTGTCTGATAATTACTTGTACAAATGTACGAGCTCGCAAGTGTTTTGCTTTCTATTCTCCTTAACCAGATGTTTGTGCTATTAGTAAGATTGAATCAGCTACACATTCATTAACATTTAATGTGGAAACATCACCCGTGGCTATTAATGAGAATGAATCACCACAGTGAAGAATTGGCAGTCACAAACACTGCCGACGAAAAAAAATAGGTAGTTTCTTCCGCTTCCAGCTTCAACAATGAAAGTAAAAATTCTTGGAGACCCATACATCATGTGCCAGCAATATGGCAGAAGGTAATGTGACTCCATGAGCAAGGGTTAATGACATCAGAGAACCTCAGGCGATGATGAAGCGCATCATCAGAGCCGGAGGCAGTACTGTACCACTGATAAGGGACTGGCATAAATCCCAGGAAGATCAGATGCTGTCTGGAATATGGAGGGTCTCTGTGGGATTCTGTTCATGCAGGCTTGTGAAACTCGTCCTGTTAATGAGGTGTAAAAAGCATCCAGTGCCTCTGAATCATAGTCTGGGCCCAAGCCTGGATTTGGATTTATTCCCCTAATAAAGCTTGTCCCTGACAAGTCCAGTATCGAGAGTCTCTGCAGCTGTAGAGGTTGCTCATCAACAAGATGAATCAAATCCAGCCTTGGGAACGTCGACAGTGCTACCTCACGCACACTGTATTCAAGCTAATACAGTGTGCAGCTCTAAAACGGATCCATGGCAAAGAACCACGCATTCCAGTGAAATGCAAAAAAGTTAAAGTTGCTCTGAAAATGAAATGATAGAGCCTGGCATCTATTGGCTTTGGGTAATTCAGGAAAACTAGGATGTATTATTTATTTAGAGTGTACAGTGTGTAAATTCTTCGGCTGATAATCCAGAACCAGTGTGCTTGAAATGCCCACAACACTGCCGCTTCACAAGTCCGGGTAACTAATTAGACTCTAAAAATCGCCTTTTTAAACATTTGGTCATGGTCTGGAGATAGCCCTACAAACAGGGCTGTAATTGGCTGTAATGGCGACAGAGATGAGACAAAAGAAATAAGAGAGCCAATTACAGCCCTGCTTGTTGGGCTAGGTCTGGCGATAGTATTGGTGTGGTCTACTGTTGCCAGATCACGACCAAATGTTAAAAAAAGGCGGTTTGTGTAGTCCTAGTTACTTGGACTACCGCTTCAACTAGTTACAACCAAACTGTGAAGGTCAAAGCAGATCCAGAGAGGTTACTGGTGGTGGTGGGGGGGGGGGGAGGGTTCTGGGTGGGGGGGACAGAGGGTCTCTCCCAAGTGAAAAATGGCCTTGTTTGAAAACACTTCGGTCACTGCATGCTGTGGTGTGGTGTGGGGGGGGGGAGGCACCCCATCCGCACCACCCTGGATCAGCCACTGAAGGTGTCATATAAAGTTTTAGGTTGTGTTTGGAGAAAAACTTTACTTTTCTAATCCTAGTTTTGTTAAGTAGAATTACAAACTTTTACCATCAAATTTGTTGGCTCCCCCTCTGGACCTACATTGTACTAGATCCTAACACTGTTTGGGTGCAATAAATATTCTGCTCTCTATAGCAACAAACTGGGGTACTTCGTTTACTCTTCCTTTTTTGTTCTATAAGAACAAGTATTAGTTTTGACATTTAAAGCCCATTGGGATTTGTGCGCATCAAATCACAAAAGACCAGCAAAATTACTTGACGAACAAATTATGTAAAATATTCCGATGTTTTGAAAGATTGACAAAACATTGAGACTCTCTTGTATATTGTATCACAGTGTTCACAACTTCCATTTTTACTGGTCGTGTTTCATGGAAACAAATTTGAAAGAAGTTTCTATCGGTGGTCTGATAAATCTTTAATTAATGTGGTTTTTATTAACATTACTAGGAAAAAAATACTGCAGTTTGATTGGTTGAGTGGGTGATGAATTTATATGATTTTTGTGGTTAAAAATTAGGCTTGAGTACCAAATGAATATTGAAATACGGTTTTTTAATTTGTTATACCAACCTTTTGTGTTTTTGCCATTGCTCCAAGCGCCTTGACTTCATGATTGACGTGCTTTCCTTCATTCAGACACAGGTAACAAACAGGCAGCTTACACAGAATACAGTACATACTGAGATTCTCCTCACTATGCTCCGAGCAGGTTGAAGGCTTACCGGCCTGCTGGCCCTGAGCCTTAGCCCTTGCCTTGATCTTCCCCTTGACAGGTGGGATGAGGCTATGCTTAGCCAGCGGTCCGCGGGCAGGATGGCAATTTTCACGGCATGCTGAACAGTAGAACACCTCACACTGCTCGCAATAAACACTCGCATCCGAAGCATTGCCTTCGCAAAGTTCACACTTGACCACGGCGTTTTTGGCTTGGCCCGCGTACCGAGCAACAATTGCTTCCAAAACTCTGTTCCTGGGCAGGCTCGTTACTCCAGTTTCATCCAGGTAAATGGATCGGTGGCACTGGGGACAGATTATTCGGAGGGAATCTACATGTAGGGAAGGGTAGCCACCGGTGCCGCTGGCACTTGAGCTATTTGAGGACGAGCTAGCGGCACTTGCCGCGTAGCCCGAGAAACCCACCCCGCTGTCTGCTTCACTCAGCCGGTCCACTTCGCCGTACTCCAGGTACTCCGGGTGAGCGTGTACGTGGTGGTGACTGCCTTGCGCCGGGCCGTTTGCTTGCAACGTGTGAGCACAATTCAGGCAGATATTGTGAGCACATGGCAACATGATCGGAGCATTGTAAAGACCCCGGCAAACCGGGCAAGAAAGTTCCTGTTCCATCATGGTTAAAGCCAACTTTTTATTGGAGCAGCTCAATATGGTATTTAGAGATTCCAAAAGATTTTGCATTCAGACGATTGTAGACCTACCTATGCCTATACGTACAAACAATGCACGCGCAGGGCGACCACGACAACCTTCCGTTGCATAGCGTTGCTCACAACCGACTAGCTGCCTTACTGTCAACGACAACCGCAGCGTATCGATTTTTAGCGGTGTTTAGTCGGGTGAACTAATTGCTTGAGTCGCAATGGTAGTGCATTAGCATTTCAAGACGAGGAATGATAACAAGGCCAGAAGCTAGACGGGATGACTTTTTTTCGTTATTGATTTGAGCATGCGTACAACTTCTCTGGATTGATCAACGCAAAAGAGGTGAACTTTGTAAATATTTAGATCGACATTTAAGATAAAAAGTGAAATTAAAACCAAATACAATTTCATCAATTATCATGATTACTATTTTAATCAAATTGATTAAAATATCTACTTTTAATACTTGTGATTATTCAAGATATGAATGTGATTGTGTTTGTATGCAAAAACACCCCTCTACAAATATAGACGAGGCTGAAAAGACTGGTAACTGTGCAATTATCTGAAACAAGTGCATTCTGCTGAAAGTGTGTGCAGGTGCAATACTAGTGTACCGCACGTTTGTGACTGACAGCACACAAATCGACCCGTCGGCTTAACTCAGTGTAGTTCTGTGGCTGGCTTAGCAGAGCTGCGAAGACACTTAACAATTTGTGCTCGAAGAACGCCCCATCACTTCCAGTCCACCACCTTCTTAATTTTGTTGCTTTCTTTGACGAAGTACGATGACAGCAACACAGATCCAGAAACTTAGCTCATTGTCACTGCAGTGTGCACGGCTGTGTCTGATTGCCAGGAATGGTACCCTAAGTTTGCGATCATTATGCACAGCATCCACCAAACGGTAAATTAATACTGATTATCAGTCGGCCTGTAGAGTACATACCCTGCTAGCCCCATAAATGTGGCCTATTTACTGGACTGCCGCCGTAAACATAGGCCACACATCCACATGTACAAAAATCGTGTCGACTTTGCCAAATTTTGATTTTCACATTTAGGCTTACTTTGTAGGTTTTTTTTGCTTTAGAAGCATTCTCACCCTCTATATAGGCTAATCAGAAAGTGCTGCCTTTTTCAGATGTATATTTTTCGTGAAATTTCCAGATTCATTTTTACACGTTTGCGTATCAAAATTTCAACATGAAATTTCACAAAAATTAGACATCTGAAAAAGGCAGCACTTTCTGACTAGCCTATAAAGAGGGTGAGTATGCTTCTAAAGCAAAAAAATCCTACAAACTAAGCCTAAATGTGAAAATCAAAATTTGGCAAAGTCGACACGATTTTTGTACATGTGGATGTGTGGCCTATGTTTACGGAGGCAGTCCAGTAAATAGGCCACATTTATGGGGCTAATACCCTGCATACATACATGATGTACTGTATAGTGATAATGTACATGTACGTGTGATGACCTAGGTTTAAAGAGAGAGATATTGGAAAAAATGCTACAATTTTTTTAAAACAATTATTGAATGAAACACGTAACAACATATGAAGCATATTTTTGTGTTTTTGGCAATTTGTTTGAAAATTTGACCCTTGTGATGTGGCAGTTGTGCCCCTGCCCACAAAATACACCCCTTTTCTAGTCCCACTAACTGGGGCCCTAGAAGTTAACTCCTTTTTTTTGACATTTGGGATGTTGGTCTGTGGACAGACCAACATCCCAAATGTCAAAAAAGGAGTTCTAGCGCCCCAGTTAGTGGAACTACCCCTTTTCAAGTTTCTGTCCCGAGAGTAACATCATCAGACACAAACCTCATGAGTTTTTTCATGTTACTGTATGCTAATAAATAAGGAAAAAATTCCATACATGGACATCACTGATTTTTCCCTGCAGTGACATACCAGCCATCAGAAAGTGATTACAATGTCCTAAAAAGTTAAATTTTGCAGGGAAAATATTGAAGCATTTACTGAGAAAATGGGGTTTGTGCACAGGGTGTCAAGTGATGTCCAGGTATGGAATTCGTTCCATAAATAAATAAATCAATATTACTATAGATCTGGACATTGGAAACTATTTCAAAATTGTCTGAAAATAAAACATGAAGAATTAATTTATCTGCTGCAAATGCAGAAGATCCAATTCTCAAAGGCAGTAATATCCTGCCAGGGTTGAAATTTAAGGCCCTCTTTTTTTTCTTTTTATTTACAAAAGTCAGACAATTAGATTTACCACATCTTGCTCCCCTAGAAATGAAGACTATGACGTGTGCATCGTTGGTGGAGGTATTGTGGGACTTGCAGCAGCTAAGGAGCTGATCGAAAGACACCCTCACCTGAAATGTGCTGTGGTCGAAAAGGAAAAGCGACTGTGTAAGTGGACTGCCATCAGGCATTGGCATGAGCCCCCTTTCCACCCCTCCCGAGCTCTCTCAAGGATCAAGGCAGCCTATACAGTAGCTTACACTTAATCCCTCTATATCCACTCTTGCCCCTCTCAACTTAAGCTTACTTGACTTTTTCTGTACTGTGAGCCACAAAGCCACGCATGCTTAATTTCCTGAAAAGTTGCCGGGCCGTAGCCAGCCTGGTGGTAGTCTATGTAATAGACCACAGCGAATCCCTATTATGCGCATCATAGACATGGATTTTAAAAAAATGTCACGGCGCGCGGCGCTCGGTATCATGTTACGCGAATGCGCTCCTGGCTGTTGTTGTATTACAAAACGCTGCATTCGACTTGACCAATCACAGCGTTAGTCCTGATTTTGGGATGAAATGACGTCACGATTTAGTAAAGTCGACTCCGATTGGCTGGCGCGCGGCTTGCATAAATCTGCATGCTTTGGCATATCAGACGTTAGACAGGAGATGGCTCCGTGGATAACGGGTGATACTCAGACTAGCCTGGTGGATGGGGAGGGTCATTTTTACCATGAAGTTGATCTTTTCATGTCTAATAAACAGTTGATTACGCATGGAAATACAGATTTTAGTGAAACTCAAATGTCAATTCTGAGGAAAAAGTGGACCTGAGATTTGCAATTCTGTCTGTCTTATTCACCATGTGACATTTGTTTGCAAATGTTGTGATCACACGATGGTGACTACTGCACACTGTCTATCTCTTGAAATATGGTTTTAAAAGTGTCGCCAAATGCTGTTTAATGTCAGCCAAATAGCATGTAGTCTGAGTATCACCCATCATCCATGGAGCCAAGTTCTGTATACATGGTATAACGTCTGATATGTCTAGACATGCAGATATATGCAAGCCGCGCGCCAGCCACTAGGAGTCGACTTAACTAAATCGTGACGTCATTTCATTCCTAAATCAGGACTAAATGGTTTGCTTGGTCAATTCGAATGCAGTGTTTTGTAATACAACAACAGCCAGGCGCGATATCGCGTAACATGATACAGAGCGCGTGACACATTTTTTTTTATCCATTGTCTATGACGCGCAACGGGTGAATGACTAAAGACCGGATATAGAAAGCGCCCGCTGATCAGTCAAAATCTAGGAGGTCAAGAGGCGGGGTCTTGCCTAATTAATTAGCGAATCTGTTCGCGCATAAAAGACCATGGCTTTCGCCATGGTCTATTACATAGACTAAATAACATGCAAAAGATGCTTAAAGGGAATGTACATCATTGGCTTTTGCTGTAATTTTCAGAAATGAACTACTTGAGGGGTTAGTATAATAGGTCAAATATTGTTACACTGACATGTTTGAAATTTTGTGTTCGAAAATGCTGGAAAAACCAAGAAAAACGAAAATGTTCAAGTAGTCTGGTTCCCTGACTCCACTAAGGATAAAATGGATCAATTTATAGATGCCGGAAAATTGTAAGGTAAGGGAATCAGTGTAGCTGGCCTGCACCCGTTCATGAACATGTTACCAAATAGCAAACACAATTTGAACTGAAAAAATGGTAAATTTGAAGCAGAAGTTGAAAAATAGTTAGGTTTTTCCAACGGTGATCGGCCGACCACTGTTGGAAATGTATACAAAAATGTCAATTTCTTGAAAATGACTTCACAGCAGGAGCCATAATTTTACAGGATGCTTTTGACTGTCATTTACCAACATCCAAGTAAGGTATTTCGTAAAAACCTGATAGTTTTATTTTTCGATGTTTGCAAATAATGTATATTCCCTTTAAATGTTTGAATTGCTCGGGAGTTGCCTGTTAGCATGATGCCTCAGGTGGGGTCTACAGAGTGCGCACTTATCCCGACCCTAAATCAGACAATGACAGACATGAGCCATTTCAGTTTCTGACATGCTTTTCTTTCTGTTCCCTTTCAGCCATGCACCAGAGCGGCAACAACAGCGGAGTCATCCATGCTGGCATTTACTATCTACCGGGTTCTCTCAAAGCTAAGCTATGTGTTGAAGGTGCGGCGCTAACCTACAAGTACTGCGATGACAATAACATACCATACAAAAAGTGTGGCAAGGTAACAATGGTGTATTGATTAACCAGTTCGCGCTGGGATTATTTTGACTTGACCGGACACAGGCGCGGGATTGTTTTTCAAGAACCTCGATGCCAGACGGGTTCAGGCCGTCATCTGCGGGTAGCACACCCTGATATTTCCGGCCTCGCTTGCTGCGAGCTGGTTGCAGACAGATATTTCCGGCCTCGCTCGTTACGTGTTTATCCTTCATCCGTTCCGAATACCGCAAATACACGTCAATAGGTCTCTCTCAAAGACAGCCATCTCTGTAGGGGGACTACAACTGCGTATTTTACGCAATCAAGCACGCATTGTGCAGTGTTGAGAATGTTCCAAACACGCGCGCTTGTTGCTCGAAATGTGTTCGAAATACGAAGCAGCCCATGCGCGTTATGCAAGTTGATGCTCAGACTGCGGATGCACGTGGATTGTCTGTAGGAAATGACGTCATTTGAGAGAGACCTTTACACATCATCCGAAAGGAAGTGGTTAAATCTAACAACTTTTGGACTCTGTGCACAAGTATCCTCTCAACGGTTACAAAGGGAGAGTTGGGGGAGACCACTGGAAGGGACATTTGAACGCATTGCCAACGACACCTAATGCTCACGTGATGATGCTACGAGTTTGAGTTGTGTGTATTTTCGGTAAACGCGCGCAAATCAGTACGTGCACGCAGTGTGTTCCGCCCACTGGGGCCCTCGTAAGTGGTCAAAGGCACCGTTTACTGTTCGTTCATGAAGTCCATGGCCTCATTTATCTAGACCAGTACTTAAATTATGCACAACTTGAAAGGAATCATTTCATTTCTAGTTTGAACAAAGAAATTCGGTTTTCAAACTGAAATATCAAACCTGATATTGGCAGTCTAAAAATGTCAATGTCTTTGTCCATTAGGCTCCAGTCAAAAGCCATAGACCCATTGTGTTTGTTATGCCCCAACTATAGCAATGTCCGCCAACTATAGTTGGGACACTCCTGACTCTAGTTGGGTCAATCTCAACCATACTTTGGGCAGTGTTATATTTGGGGCGTAACATTTTCACTGAGGCTAGGGATCCCGCCCAAAGTCATACTTTGACCTGACAAGAAATTGGATATTCACATAATAGGGATATTTTGCAAGCGAACTGATACGGTTAGGCTGCCGTATAGGTCATCAGTGTGTGTGGTCTTGTGAAGTCGTACGCATGTAGATGGCTATCGTGTGCTAATTGTTAATTTTCACCTTCTTTCCTGATAAGTCAGTCAGTTATAGGTTAATAAGTTATTGAATCATGTATGACTTGAATGAAAGATGATGAATCACTGAACACATATGTGCAGGGTGACTGTAAGGTCATGGCTAAATTCTGCTAAATGCACTTCAAAAATCTGTCCGATTTATCCAAAATCTGCCAAATTCCCCAGAATTACTCGAAATACACTATAAACACTAAAAATCACATGCAGAGGATGTAGTATTGCCTTAATTAAGGCTCAAATTACAAATACATGTATAAACAATCTATAGTCACATAAAGATGTCATGAAATTGCGTCAATTTCAGGCAAACTGCGGTTGCGTCACGCTGAAGTCCAGTTCCCAGTGAACCTCAGCACCTAGACCAGCCAACCTGTCCCATTTATGCAGGGGTTTGTTTGAAAAGATTGAAGCTTTTTTAAACAAGTGTACCATTTTTTTCAAATTTACTATGTTTTTCTGTCAAATAACCATTTTTGCAGAATTCTGCCAGAAAGCTGCCAAAAAAAATCCATTCTGTCAAATTTTCTGTCAAACTCGTTTTTTAACAAAAAATCTGTCAAAGTTAGCCGAAAATCGGCTAAAACGGTCACCTTGCATTTGTCTGTATTTCAAAACAGTTTTAGCCACAGATAATGAGGCACTTATCGAAGGCAGCCATTTTGGATTTACTGCTTTTATTGGTAACGGTTCTCATAACTTAGCGCATGTGTACACGTACACGATGCGAAACAACAGAATGGTTGGTATGGGCTCTGTGCGCCAATGAAAGAGGGCGCCCCTTTTACCCAGCAACGACGTCCCATGGGCGGGACATTTAGCTGGTTGACGCCTTGTGTGTGATGCACGTACACCAGGGGATTTGTACTATGTACACGCAGTGGCCGCGCGTCGCGGCAAAATTTGCAGTCAGGCAAGATGGCGTCTGTCGGTCACCCCCAACTGTGCTTTCTTTGCCAGTGAAGGGGTACTTGTGAACGGAGCGGATTGTGACAGATAGCTAAAGATTTGCACACACGTATGGGATGCGAAACATCTCTATTGTCAAAGAAAATATAAGAGGTTGATGTAGACAAATATGGTGATTTGGGCTTTGAATGGTGGAGAGTACAACTCTGAAAAAATGACTAATTCTTGAAGAATTGATTGTCTTCTAAGAACAAGAAGTGTTACTTGATGTTTTGCTCAGTTATGATTGCCAGATTCATGCCTTGCTATTTGAAAAATGTCACTGCATTGTTTGTGTCGCAGTTAATAGTTGCTGTCCAGCCCGTGGAGATCCCCAGACTTGAGGCATTGTATGAACGCGGTCAGAAGAACAATGTGAAAGATATGCGGATGATTGGTCCTGAGGAAATCAAAGAGATGGAGCCACACTGTCGAGTAAGTTCAAGAAAAGATCTTGTTAGACTAATTACAACGTGTTCTTGACTTGAGTTATATAAATTCCATTGCTTCATAGGTTGGGCAGTACATTTAATGTACGAGTAGGCCTATATCCTTTTTGATTTCTGTATTTAAGTCAATGTTTAGTCAACAATTAATCTCAACTTCCCAGAAAATATTTTTTACTTGGATCTTCTGGAATCTACCCCAATTATTTATTTATATATTTTTTATTTATTTTGTATTTCAACTAGGTGGCCAATTAGCATTATCCACTGGTCTCCCAAGGGTCCCGGCATACATAAAAAACAATAAACATAACAATTTAACAAACAATCAACATTAAATGCTATTCATTGGTCGCTCCAAAACCGTTTCTTTTAATTTTTTTTTATGTTTTGGTTCCGGGGGAGGGGGGGGGGGGTTGGACCTCATTTGATGCTAAGGAGCGCTCTTTTCCCCCTTTTCTTTCTTTCAATTGATATTTTACAAATCCATAAAGAGAGACAGAATGCGTGGCATGGATTTAAAAAAAAGATGCCTTACTCTGCATCTGGTTTAATTATTTGAAAACAAAAAGACATCTGTTTGGAGGGGGGAGGGGGAGAAGGAGGGAGGGACATGGCCCCCGTTTGCCTCCCCCTCCCTGTATCTGCCACTGTTGCTATTCAGTGTGGCACTGTACCGTCTTTGTACTTCAATGAAATTGTAACATCAAGCCCTATGGTGAACTATGATGGGTGGGATTTACATATCAGAAGCCCACCCAAAGCAGCGTAACAAACAGCTGTAGGAAGTAGGTGGTTATGATTACTGATGAAGGGCATTTACATGTATTTTTGCATTTGTTTCAATCCATAGTTTAACAGCTTAATTAGGAGCTCTCATTAGAATTACAATTTAAAGAGGTTGTGGAATGCTCGAAGACATTTCCGTCATTTTTTGGGTATATGTAGCCTAAGGTGTGATGAAATAAAAACGACTATTGTTTCTGTCATGAAATGAGTACAAAGGGTACTTTTGAGAGCTATTTTTCAGGTCCTGTTTCGACCTGAACGTGCAATTTGTGTAAAAGTCGTCGTTGCGGGCAGGACTAAACAGGACTCGTTTAGGCTACTCTGCATCGGGAGTCCTGTTTATTACGTCACGATTTACTGTTTTTTGTTTGCTGCCCGCAACGACGACTTTTACACAAATTGCACGTTCGGGTCGAAACAGGCATGACAGGACTTGAAAAACAGCTCTCAAAAGTACCTTTTGTACTCATTTTATGACAGAAACAATAGTCGTTTTTATTTCATCACACCTTAGGCTACATATACCCAAAAAATGACGGAAATGTTTTGGGGGCATTCCACAACCTCTTAAACATAAATGAATAATGCTATTACTCAGAATTTGGAATGGCAGCTTCAGTTGTGCAAGGCAGTGCCTTTTTAGTTTGCCTTTCTATGATTCCTCATGCATTGATGCAATATCAATGATGCAAATTACTAGGCTTGTCATGTCTTGTTTAAATGTTATCTCTCACAGGGGTTAAAGGCCATCAGCTCCCCTCACACGGGCATCCTTGATTGGGGAGAGGTCGCTAGGTCGTTCGGGGATACGTTTGCTAAGAGAGGAGGACACGTCTTCACTGAGTTTGAAGTCAAAGGATTTCACATGACGCAAGAAGGTAAAGTATAACTATAAGTCTCCTCTCGCAATTCAAATTTTATTAGTTGGACTCATTACAACAAGTAAACGGCCATCCTCCATACATACAAACGATCAGCGTTGAAATACGCGCTGTATTCACACACAGATGGATATAGGCTAATGCATACACCCTCGACTTACTGAAACCACAACTCCTAAAAGAAACGGGTACTGAACATAGTAACTGTACCCAATGTAAATTTAGTTTGTCTGCTTGCTGTAGAAACCAAATAATTCTACTTGTGGAAAAATTTTATGTACGTACTTTTCGAATTCAAAATGACAGCAATTGCACTTCGGGCACACTGACTATGTCAGACATCCAATAACAATACATGCGTTTTAGGTGGCCGATTCGCTCGGCCAGATGGCATACAGGGCAGCCTATTTTCCTGTCACTCACGAAGTTTATTCAGAAAGTAACTGCACAGCTAGTTGCTGTCAACTCTAGTGAATATTCAAACCAAATTTGAACGAAATTCACAAAAATTGTATGTACGTACTTTTCAATATTCATAAAACCATTAATCAATCTGAAGTTGATTGACTGTATAATTGGCCGATAACCCAATTTTGGCCTGTGTGTGCGCCGGGTGCGCGCGCGCGCGTGCAACTTGCCACGCGCGTGCAGCTTGTTCTTCACGCGTGGTACTACATGCTGATTGGCTAATGGTCATTTGTTTACTGCGTTTGCACGCGGCTTAATCAGGTCACCGCGTATTCGCTTAATGTGTATTCATTACTTCCCAAATCAGTGTGCGCTGTAATTGGCTGTATGTAAATGAAATGATGATATCAGAGCTCATTAAAGTTTGTCCTCTTGCCCGTGCGTATTGTTGTAATGTTCAATGTGTATACTTTAGGTGTCTACATGGTAGTGCTACGATTTGCCGAGCATGGCATCTTTGAACTCAACCAAACTGAACTCAGTATTTAGAGCTCTGCAGATAACCATTAAGTCATGTTGTGAAGCTACTTTTTAATTTTAAGTATATCTTCAGGGAAACTTGAATCCTGGGTCCTGATTGGTCAATGCTAAGCACCGTCGATATATTGATATTACGTGATTATTTGATATTATTTTGATATTGATATTGCCAATAGCAATTTTTTAATCATATCGAAATTTTCAATATTGAGGAATAATATCGAAAATGCATCAGATTACCACAAAATGAATCGCCCGTTTGTGCTTGAACTACTTTGTGTTTAACGTTTGCTGTATTATAATATAAAACTCGGCGGCAACTTGTGCTTGTGACTCAAAATAAAACCATCACAAAATGCCAAACGGCGTCGTTTTGTGCCCTGCGTTCACTGGAATTCGCCGACTCCCCAATGTAAAACCTCAAAAGAAACCGCCCATTCTGGACAACCTGTCAGTGCTGGAATATGAAAAATTGTGACTCAATATTTTATTTTTATTTTTTAAATCAAACTAACATCTTTATGATCTTCATCTTTTACATGGGATAATCGATATATCGAATATTTTTTGGATATTGGATTTCCGATATATCGATTACTGACAATTCTGATATCGATGGTGCTTAGTCAGTGCACTATGTTAAGATGCGCTTGCTATTCCTGCTGCATGCGCATGTAATAGAATAACTGCTAAAAAGGGCCTACAAAGGGCCTATAACGTGCACATTCCCTTCTTTACTGTGCGTAAAGTTTGCATGAAGATAAATTTGTTCCCCCACACACACTCTTGAAACAAAGGAAATGTTGTGTGTCTGTGTCCCACATGCCACTTGGCCAATGCTGCGGCCTCGTGGCATATGGGACACAGAGGAACTACATTATTCCATGTTCCACTCGTGCTCATGGGATAACTAACAATACCATGCTGCAATCAAAAAATGTCTTCCTCCTTTCTTGTCCTCAATCCTAACTTGCCCTCAACCAATGTCTTCCTCATGGAAAGCTGTTGTATCCATGTCTCTCAACCCCTTCCAATATGTAATCTATATTCCAGCGATATATTAAAGCTACAGTCCATCATTTGCAACTATCCATAAAGTAACTGACGTAATTATTATATTAGTTTACACCAGACCCCTTGTGGTTTGCCATCTCCCTTTGTTTCTTTGTTCTCTCATCCACCCTCCCCTGCATCTTTCCACACCTTTCCCACCTAATCCTCCTTTTGTGTTTCTTCTTTCAGCCCTGCATGTTTGTGTGCACCCCCATGTTAATGTATGTACCTCTGTCATTTCTGTTTTAGCCTCTGAAGAAGAACTTGCTAAGTTCGCAACGTCAGGCCACATTAATTTTTAGATTTATATATTTCAGGTCCATCCAGTCAGTAAGCAGTTTGCAGCAGTCTTACTTTTTTTCATGACGTAATTATTGTTGAAAAGCATATTTGGGTTACAAATAGCAATGGGACTTATCTCCCTGTTTAATTATTCTTTCTGGCAAGCTGTCCTTTTGAAGAAATCAACGGAAAAAGGCCATTTCCAACGATGCGTCTAAAGATGCATTCTTGGAAATTTCCGTTAGTAGTTCGTTTTTAATTTGGTGAAGCGTGCACAGTGTTGTCACAAAGCATGCGCGCGTGGTTGCTATAATTCGTCGGTTCAGTGCACGACATCGTGTGGCTGCAATCGGCTGAGTGAGAACATGTCCCAGACGCTAAATTTGGGCGCAATTCAAAACATGACTCCGCAACTTTTAATTTGAAATTGAGATCCTAGAATATTGTTTTCTCAGAATATAAGCATTCACTGAGCTAAAATTTTATCAGGTTAGTTGTTCAACACCCTTCTTTAGATTTTGAACACTTTTGTTGCTTCAAATGAACATAATGCACAAATTACAAATGATGGACTCTAGCTACCTTTAAACATTTAACATCCTACCTCATCCGGTTTTTCTTTATTTTCCCCTCTTCTTTGAACAGGTGCTGAATACCCAGTGACAATCAGGAGCAGTCAAGGGGTAAATTGCCGTACAACCTAAAGCAATGTGGAGCTTCTGGATGTGGGTTTTATTCAGAGTGGATAGGGGAATAAGATTGCAATTTTAACCACACATTCATCGCAATAAGCCAGTTCAGTATTTTTACTGTCCATGCACACAGTGATATGGATCTCAGGTCATTCGGGACAATCGAACGCTCATCGAAGGTGCATTAACATGCAAGGTGAATGGTTCTGAAAAGAACCAGAGGTATAAACTCAATGTTCCGGTCGTTATGCTCTGACTGTCTTCAGGAGAGCGGAACGTTGAGTTTATACCTCTGGTTCTTTTCAGAACCATTCTCTTAGTTGAGAAATTGTGCGCACATGGTGTTTCCGCAAACCTTTCATTATTTAGTATCTCTACCATGCAAAGCCTCAAATCTTACTTAACACGCAAGGAGATGGTCGCAAGACGTTCATGTAACATCGCGTCAGCGATTTTATCCTGAATGAACTTTGACCTGAACTACTTCATTGAGATGCTGAACTGGCGTATTGTAAGGATTCAGCACAATGTGGTTTGGTCAACAGGATGTATGCTTTAAGGCCTTCGGTTTCTGGTATGGAGCTTGCCCCAAAAGTGGTGAGGTGACGCGGCTTTTTTTAAAAACTTTTTTCCTTCAAATGTCGACTGATGACTGCAAATGGTACCCGACCAAATTTAGTGCAAAATGTATTGGAGCCCAGAGAGGCCACATAAAGCTTATACTCGATCGTAAGCCCATCTAAAAACACGTTAAAATTGTGCAGCAGCAGGATTCCAGTCAAACCAGTGAGTTTGGCGGTTTTGAGACATCACCTTACATTGAAAAAAAAACTTGTTAATTTTGCTGACGCGCATGGCTACGGCGACAGGCGGGCATACCAGAAACCGGAGACTTTTTTTCGGCCTAAGGGTTAAGGGTTTCTTGAGAGGAATGTGAATTTGGCTGCAAGCTGCTGCATGATTAATAACATTTTGTCCCTTACAATTATGAAAGAAACAATCACCTCCACAGGTGTGAATCTCATCTATGGCAATTTAGTATTAGGTTTTGTCCTTCAATAACATAACTTTAAGGACTTCAGTGTTGGCTTTCTGAGAGCTTGGAAGAAAATTTCACAAACTACTTGGGTGGGACTCGAACCCACGACCTCCTGCTTACTAGTGTAGTTGTCTTTACCATTCGCCCATTGAGCTTGCCATGGTCGGCTGACTGATTCTAATTTGATACGGCAGTGGGTATTGCAGTCTGTAAGAAAGGATTACAAATTTGTGCTGGCATTGATTTTTGAGTAGGTAAAGGCACACTCTGCCCCAAATCCTGGGAAATTTTGCCATTTTATCGTTTACCCTTTGTTTTTATTAAATAATAAGATTAAAGGAAAACCTTGCAAAATATTGGTTTCTGACACAAGAATTGCACAGACATTGGTAGCGCTTATTATTTTCATTCTTGTTAAATTTATTATTAGAAATCTCTTCGGTGTCGTTACGTCTTGACGTGCGGGGGCCTGTTTGCAGATCGGTTGGCCCAACTCTCTGGCTGTAATCCTGTCCCAAGGATCGTCCCTTTCAGAGGGGACTACCTGCTACTCAAACCAGAGAAAAACCATCTTATCAGAGGCAACATCTACCCTGTAAGCATCCTTAAGGAAACATGATTGAATAAAACTTACACTTCTTTTTAGATTTGTCATGGAGTTCCTAGATATACTAATGTTCAGGAGAACTTTGATATGACCAACACACTATGATGGCAAAAGGTATGCTCATTATGGGCTCCGTGCGCCAACAAGAGAGGCCTTTTTACCGCTTTGGAGAGCCCCGCAGCGTGTGCGTCACTGATCTCTATATAAAGACTGCATAGCGGATAAAGAGCCGCACAATGAATGAATTTGACGCCATATTGGTGAGACCGGCTGGTGATCTACAAAGGACAAGTTGTCGTCTTTATAGACAGCATGATTTCTTTTGTAACATCGCGGTTCACTTAACTTATATTTTGACCACCACCACTGACCAAGGTTTACAATTTTTCTAACGTCGTGGTTTACTTTTTTAATGCCGCAGTCCACTTTTTCGGCGTTTGGATATAATTATCTCTACGGAAATGTGTCCTTTTTAGAACATCATAATATGTGTACGTGACCAAAATGTGCGTTAATTGTTGATGTCGATGCTGTCTATACGCGTAGAAAGTTTGTAATATACGCGGCCATCTTCGTGAGACCGGGGGCGAATTGGTCAAAATGCAATGTCTACCGTGTGACTGGTGTATGGATATCTGCTATCCAGTCTTTATATAGAGATCAGTGGTGTGCGTACTGGTTCGCGCACATATAGCGCAAAGTACGCATGACTTATTTCATGCTAAATGTGCACAAAGCCATAACGTCTTCGCGTGACTGTCAGGTGTCGTCGGCGATGCGTTTGAATATCTCTCCCGATGGTCTCCTCCAACTCTCCCTTTCTTGCCGGGGAGGGGTACCTGTGCACGGAGCCTGTAGCCAAATGTTCAGTAAAACAGTGATATAAATATAGCAGCATTCTAGAATGTGCACAAAGCCCAGTGTCATCACCTGAGTGCTATTAAGTGTACAGCTGCAATTTGCTCAAGAGTTTAAGAAGTCTGTAGCTTGAAGAAATTACTGAACTCGGTGGGTAGCAAGGTTTAAATGGGAAACTTTTGAGACGATTGGTGGCAGCAAACGTCATCTTTAAGCTCATCTGCACACGTTCAGAATGATGCAAATAATAGAAAAGGACTGGTGTGTTTACTGCCACCAATTAAGTGTCTCAAAAGTCTCCCATTGAACTACAATGTACTTCTTATAATGAAATGATAACACTGCTAATTTTTTGTGTTCACCGCGTTACAATTTCTATGTCTTTGCAGGTACCGGATCCTAAGTTTCCATTTCTGGGCGTTCACTTCACTCCTCGCATCGACGGCAGCGTGTGGCTGGGGCCCAATGCTGTCTTGGCTTTCAAGAGGGAGGGATACAATCTAACAGACTTCAACCTCAGAGATACGATAGATGCACTGAGCTTCCGGTGAGTTTTGTAGTGAGTCAAGTCATGACTCGCAGCTGAAAGAACCCCAAAAAGTACAGACTTTATTTGAACCTTGGCATAAATGTAGACTTCACTTTGGATTCTAGGGGACTTTGGCTCAGACTGGGAAAGTCGTAACTCTCTAATTTCAAATGTGATGCTATGACCATTAAGACCATAAAAGAGTGTGGTGTAGTGTATGGTACAGAACAGTCTTGGCTGCCAAAGCTCAAATTGAGTCTGGACTTGAGCTTTTTCCCAAGGTTTTATTAGGGTGCTGTAATGACTACATTTTATGGGTACAAACATCAAAAAACAAAACTACCAAATTATTATGAAATACCTTACTGGACTGTAAGTGAAAAGTCTCATGCATCCTGTGAAATCGTGGCACCTGGTGTGCTGTCATTTTCAAAAAAGAGGAAATTTTATACATGTATCAATTTCTAACGATGGTCAGCCGACCATCGTTGGAAACTGACTTTTTTTTCAAATACTGCCCCCAATTTGCCAAATTTAGTCCACATTTTGGTTTGCAATCGGTTACACAGCCATGAAAGGTGCAATCCAGCCAGTCTGGTTCCCTGGCCTGACAATTCCCCCGACGTCTATAAATTGCTCTGTTTCATCTGACGTAGGGTCAGGGAACCAGTCTACAAGAACAGCATTTTTTTTCTTGGTTTTTTCCAACATCTAAGAACACAAAACCTTAAACAGGTCAGTGTAACAATATTTGCTATAAAATCAATCCATTTCCAGCAAAAGCGAATGTTGTATTTTACCTTTAAATCATGAAAATAAAGATTGTAAAAATTTAATTTTTAGCTGTATCAATATGTAAACTTATGTCTATAACCTTGGATTCATGTCTGTTTATACCCCCAAGTGACATGTACTCACTCCAGAATAAGGCACATTGCTGTATTAAACTGTCTGTGACTTTGATTTGGACTAGACTTCCTCAGTTGTTCATACAGTGGAACACCGTTATACCGAACACAGCTAAACTGAACATTCGGCTACACTGAACGTCATGCTTGGCTCCCTATTTTTGTGTACAAAACGTATCACACATTGTTGTTGAAAAATGTCAACAGAAAAGCGACAAGTTGCTATTATTTCCCCAAGGAATAGAGGGGGAAAACAAAACCATTGCTATAGGTAGTAAACTCAAATTTTGCCTAATTACATAAGTCGGCACATGTTCAAAGTCATCTTTCAGTAACTACCAGGGCGTGCAGGGTGAAGTTTTGAAGGGTGCTATTTATTGAAAAGAGAGTACCGGAACACCAGCAGCTTAAAATAGCTATACCGAAAGATCGCTGTTACGAACAATTTCTGTGGATGCTGTGATGTTCGTTATATTGGCATTCCACTGTACCCTTTTCCGTCAAGTAATTTGCCATCACCTTATAGCCTCATCTGTGAATTTCATTTCAGTGGCCTGCGGAAGTTGATGTTCAAGCACATGGTGTTCGGCATGGGAGAAATGTACAAAGGGGTGGTCATTGCTGCACAGGTCAAGCAACTCCAGAGATTTGTGCCGGAGCTGAGACTGCAAGACGTCACACGGTTAGGAGATTCATTTCAACTCAATTTAATTCGATTGTGATTGTGTGTTTTGCTTTAAAAAAATTCATACACGTAGTTGAAGGTAGTGTCCATCATTTGTAATGTGTGCATTTTGTTCGTTTGAAACGACAAAAGTGCTCAAAATCTAAAGAAGTGTGCTGAACAACTAACCTGATGAAGTTTGAGCTGAGTGAATGCTGTATATTCCGAGAAAAACACTATTCTAGGATCTCGATTTCAAATCAAAAGTTGCTGAGTCGGGTTTTGAATTGGGCCTGAATTCAGCGTCAGAGACACGCTACCACTGAGCTGATTGCAGCTATGCGATGTCGCGCACTGTGCGTCGTGTCAACGGTTGCGCGTGCTTCGCCAAATAAAAAAATGAACTCTAACAGAAATTTCCAACGATGCGTCTTTAGACGCATCAAAAAGGCCTTCTTTCATTGATTTCTTCGAAACAACAGCTTGCCAGAAAGACTAATTTCACAGGGAGTTTAGTCCCATTACTATCTTTAAACCAAGAATGCTTTTCAACAATAATTACGTCAGTTACTTTTTGGATAGCTGCAAATGATGGACTGTATCTTTAATTGTAACAATGGGTTTATCTCACTTGAAAGGCTTTCGGTAAAATTGTAGCAGACATGCTATGATTGTCACAACTACCAAAGCTTTCTGCAAACAATTTTGAAAAGTTTGCATACATCTCTTGATTAAGGAAGATCTCAGAAAGTTGACCATCTAGTCTCAGAATTCATGAATATTAATTGTGTTGCCAGACCTCTGAAATCTGACTGGCTGATGACGAATGTCAAAAGATTCAGACTCTTTTTCCAGGGTCGTCTTATGGCATATGTGAGTAATACCCTGGCTACAGAGGATGAAATATGGCTGTGTCGGAATTGCTTGGCTGTGGCTTAGCAATAACACATTTGCCTATGGAAGCAGTAAAATCCACTTCCCATACAGGTGTGTGTTACAGTCAGCCGTAGTCAAGCATTTGGACGGAACCAATCTCTTGTGAATTGTAAGAGGGTATTGTTGAGAAGAACTGCTAGCTAACAACTGAACTTGTGCATTTTTTCAGGGGTCCCTCTGGAGTAAGAGCTCAGGCCTTGGATCTTGAAGGCACCCTTGTTGACGACTTTGTCTTTGATGGTGGTGAGGGCGCTATTGGAAGCCGTGTTCTTCATGTGCGTAACGCCCCCTCACCTGCAGCTACGTCGTCCCTGTCCATCGCCAAGATGATCATAGACAAAGTGGAAGATTCCTTCTCGCTCTGACAACTGCACCAGGATTTTTCGAAATGAAATTTCACTTAAAGGGCGAGTATAGCGATGATGTTGTATTTTGAAGAAATTATGAAATATGCATTAGGGTGACCCTTTTTAATTGTATGCTTCTAATATTTTTTTATCTCTGTAGTTAGGTCGGTTGATCGAAAAAAGTTAAACATCTGAAGGGAAATTTATTTTGCAGTTGCACCCCTATAGATCGCTAAATTAATGGAGGTCAAGTGCATATTGTCTCTAGTTTTGTTTATTGCAATGAGTTTATCACGAGTGGATAAAACTGAATAAAAAAATAAAATCATATTTGGCAAGATGTAGTTGTTTTTCATTATCTGCACAATGGCTGTAGCGGCTGCCGTGACATATAAGTAAAGGTTCACACACCTAATATGATGAGAGGTAACATGCTTGCATCTTCTGGAATTTCACTGGTTCCTATACAGTATGTCCAAAAAAAAGGTGTCCGTCTGACTATTTTTGAAATAATGATAAAACCATGATGTCAATTTTCAAAATGTTTGGTTGTGCAGATACTCCTAAGCCTCGGCCTCAACCCCTATGATTTTCATTTAATTTCAGTCACACATCACTACACAATCACCAATTGATCACAACAACAGTTTTTGACACTGTGACCAAGTTCCTTGCCTTATTCAATTTTAAAATCCTTAATGTTGTGAAAAGGATTGAAGTTGGGATTGGAATCATTTGCCTGGCTATCAGTCATCATGGCAAGACCTCAGTTTAATGCTCAAGGGCAAATGATTCCAATCCCAAACCACATCGGCCTTTTTGCACAACATGCAGGATGTTTCACAGCTTACATAACACAGCACTGATATGGCTTAAGGCATGGAACTTGGTCACAGTGTCCAAAAATGTTGTTGCGATAAATTGACAATTGTGCAGTGATGCTTGACTGAAATTAAATGACACAATCTGCACAACCAACAATTTTCAAAATTGAACTCGTGGTTTTGTAGTTATTTTAAAAACAGTCAGACCGACACTTTTTGGGGGGACATACTTTACACCGTATTTCATGTAAAAATCTGGTGTTATTTTCTATAGCTTTTCAAATAACACAGAGCCTGATTGCCTGAATTTTAATTCATTTTTCCCCCCATTTTTTTGTTTTGTTAAAAACAAAGAAATAAAAAGGGATGCTCTTACCTTAAAACAAAAATATATTACTTCACCAAAGAAAGTTGTTCGGTGTCTTGTCGCGGGTGAACACCTAATATAACACGACTCAACTTGATTAACAGTACTGCCTTGGAAAATGATTCATGCAAAATGTATTGATGCGTGTAAAATTCTGTATAGTATACTAGAAAAGTAACTATTTGAAATCTGTAATAAGTGCATACTCACTATAAAACAAAACTCTACAGTAATACTTTGTTTTTTTTGTTACATTCTATATCTTACACAATGAGTATAGTTCCTTTTAATGCCAGCGTACTTGCTATAATTGAAGTATTCTACAAAAATCACTATCAAATATTGAAATTGAATATTTTCACTTTTCAAATATTGAAACAGATTATATTTCGCCAATTATATAGGGTGAATTGTAAATGTTAATTATTTTGTGTTTTTGAATGACATGTGAGATATTTTTTTTGCAATATTTACTCAAAGATGAATTTTTGTCCAATGAAAATGTATATAACCTGTAAGATTTTAAAGGCAAAGTTTTTTGGGAGGAAACTGATTTATATTTTCTATTGGAAATTTGTATAAATTTTGTAAAGCAACTACCAGGAATTGTATTTTCCTTTTTAATTTTAAATTTGTTCTTAATTGGGATCAAGCACATGTTTTCTTACTCTGGAGGGCCAGCGGAGCGTCGTCTGTATACCTATCTCATTGACTGACTGACTGTAAGGCCAAAAAAAAAAAATATTCTGTCTCTGGTCAGACCAAAGTTCGGGAATTGACGCGGCCACGCGGCTTTTTTTTTTTTTTTTTTCTTATAGCTTGGATTGTACAGACAATGGTGGGTACTATTTTGCTTTTTTGGTGTCCTCATGTACATTGGTGTCCTCCATAATTTGCCTTGGTGCTTTCGATCATTTGCCTTGGTACAATTTCCCATTCCTGGTGCTCTTTGGTAAAAAAAATTGAGGTGCGGAAATAGAGGGCGCTGTTGGAGCTACCGCGGAACATTTTGGAAAAAAAAAGATCGACGCGCATGATTAAAAATCGACGAGCGCGCTGACCAGAGACCGACTTTTTTTGGGGGGGGGGGGCCTAATGCCAGAGAATGGTTTAAGTACGACACATTGTGTAGACCACAAACATGTAATGACTTCCAGCGAATAGTCATTCTGAATCAATTGAATAAAATTATGTGTGCTCTGTGACCAGCATTGCTAGACTTGCCTAGTCTTGTGTACACTTTAAACGTGTATCATACAGGCGAAAGTCGTTTCTGTGGGAAGAGTTCCATACATGGCCATCTCTAATTTTTCCCTATTGTGATCTATCAGCTATCACAAAGTGATAACATGTCCTAAAAAGTTTAATTTACCAGGGAAAATATTGAAGCATGTACTGAGAAAACGCTTGGAATTTTTTTTTCATGAGTGTCAAGTGATGTCCAGGTATGGAACTCTTTCTGTTTTTGACTTATAGGGTGTCACAAACATCAATGTCCCTCTCAGGGTTGTAGCAGATATCGAAAAAAAATGAAATGTTATTTCTACTTGTCTTGCATAATTGCGAAGCATATTTATTGTACTATTTTCTGTAAAATGTCCATGGGGATCGGTTCACTGGTTTTCCAAGTAAAGGTAAACGCAGTACTATTTTGCACCATTCCAAGTTGAACATTTAGCTCAGACTGGCGTTTTGATTAAATTACTAAACTAAACCGGAGGAATACTGTTAACAGTTCTCATTGTTGACTGTGGCTATTTGCTATATGTACATATAATATCTTCTTTAATTGTAACAAAGGAGTGTCTCCAACACCTGTTATAACAGTTCAAAGTGATTCAGGACATTCAGGCAGGGGCGGGCCTGAAGAAAAAAAAACAGAGAAATGCATTGTGTACAATCTCAATATGTGTTGTCAAACTTGGATGGAGCTAAACGGACTGGCTAAACGGACTACATGGCCTTAGTTTTGAAACCGAACCGAATCCAGCGAACACTTCACGCAAGAAAGAAAAAATGTTTGGGCTCATCAATTATATAATTGAATTTGAGAATTTTCATAAATTACGAGAATTCTGAAAATTGGCTTGCTCCTGCTGTTTTCGTGTTGATTTGCATGCACCGAGCTGAATTTCGTGAATTATATCCAAGTTAATTAATTAACGGCTAGCAATAATTTCCCAGTGAAATATATGACAGTGTACACTCGTTTGAGAAACTGATTTTGCGCCACGGCCTCGGCTCCTGTGCTTTATGGGAAATCATCCCAACACTTTTGGTCCATTGGTTTGGATAACTAAGTCTCAGATAATTATATAAAACAGTTTTATATAAGCAATGAATAAAATACCAAAAATTTAACGTATGGTTTTACTCCATCGTCATCCCAAACAGCATTGTTCTTGCCTTTCGGTGTGTTTCATCAGTGATTTCGTTATTAGTTCAAAACTCGTCCAAATAAATTATCACCTAGTGGTTTTCACTCCGTGACCTCGAACAGTATAGTAGTTCACCCGTTCGTTCGTGGTCCGATCAAAGATGCGCCTGAAAGGTTTGAAGATTTCCCCAAAGGCGGCATAGGTATGTCTTGGCGTATTGGAAGTCACGAGGCCCTTCCCTACCCACTTCAATAGTGATTTTTTTTATATCAGGATACGATTGTCGAAAGTCTGTCTTGAGCAAAACAGTCAAAGTTTGCTAAATTAATTGTTACTAAATGTACCTCAAGTTCAACAAAAAACCAAATGATGTTTGTCATCTAGCATCTCGATATAGCGTCGATGCTGTGATTCAGGGCGCTATAGACGATGGGTTGTTGCAACTGTTTGCAAGGGCGGGGAGGGGCTGGTTCTCATTTGAAGCCAGGGGACTCGCTCTCTTTCCTCCTTTCCTTATCTCTCTTTTTATCAGTATTTCAGAAATCCGTAGAGGGTATACGGAGATGAGCAGCATCGAGTTAAAAACCGGTCTTCTTCACGGGCCGCCATTAAACAAAGCAAGGCAACATTCAAATTGCGATTAATGCTGCACGAAGACTCTTTAGCACTTGCAGATATACGGTTATAGCAATATTATATCTATATTAGGCCCGTTCTACTGGATTTATAACTATTTTACTTCCAAACCGTGAACAATACATGTAATGGCTTTAAGTCATTTACAGGCATCGGGCCGCAAAAGCCACATCTGTTTATTCGGATGAGAGGGCGGTTCAGGCGGTCGCAAGCCGCTATCATTAAGTCGGCCTCAGGTCGACCTTGCGACGACACAGATCAGTCGGCGACTGACTTTTCAGGATCAAGCTGCGTCTGAGCTACGACCGTCGGAAACAACTCAGTCGCCGATTTTGTGCGACCTAATAAGGAACACTGGCGATATGACTCTTGTTGAGAGTCGTGGGCTTGGGGAACTTTTCCAAGGAGTTGGCGCCCCTGGAGACGAAATTGAAGAAATCCACCGCAGTGAAGAAGAGGTCAGCGATCGTTATCTATGAACAGAAGGAAGCAAGACAAAACACACTTTGATATCAATTGCCGCCAGTAATATTTTTAAATGAAAGGCTGTCTAAAGAGGTATTAGGTACTTGCGGCTAACTCAAATTGGACGCTATTATAGATCCAATTTGGCTCGCATTGTGTCCGTTGATGGTTACGCTGTTGGACTTTTGTGTCATGAGTTTCTCTAATTCTCCTTCACTATATGCTGACAATACTTGTATACCATTAAAATAACCCACGAATCTCACGACAGAACATTTTTCGCATTCTTGGACCTATAATGGCGTCCTGGTACCCTGTCCCGCAACTCTCTATCTTTGGTATATTACCGACCTGCATTACCCAACCCAAACCCGCTATTAAAATAAGATATTGGCTGCAGAAAACTATTTTCGCAACACAATCATCTTTGGTCCTAAAATTCATCGTTCCTCAGCTTCCGACACAAGATTTAAGCCATAATAATTCTAATGTACCGAATTTCCGACAAAATAATATTCTCCAGCCGGTTCCACAGCGAATTGGCGTTCCAACAATGCGAAGACTAGTGGCGGGACAACCTCCGACAGAAAAGTCTTTGTTTTTGCCGTCTAAAAAAGAACAAACGTGTATGTTATGCATCATAAAAACAAAATCTGACCCAACCTCTGGTTGTTTACCATCGCTTCAAACCCTTGCACTTAATATACCATTATTATGTTGCGACCATGTTGATTTTTTCCCATTCAGATCGACGCAACCAAAACGAGGTCGGAAGGAAAATATTCTGGTTACTTTTTGCACAAGAACATCATTATATATATATATCGGCGTCTTATATAGCGCACGTATGTCACAATTGGATCGAACCACTCGTATACAACACCCCTTTACAAATTTAGGCCACGCCCACAAATTGGGTGGAAAATATGACTTTTGTTCGGAAGTCCACTGTGTGGGTGTAGCTGTATTGAAACTGTGAAGGCAAGACTATAAAGACGGCTGGTTGTGGCCCATATTTCGTCAATAATGCAGATCCGAACACCTTTTAATCTTCAATACTCCCTTTCACCATTTATTTAAATGATCAAAATACAATTATACGAAAACACGGATGAGATACATTCGGCCTTGCTTGTGTATACATTATTCGTGCAAATACACAATCTCAATAATCTGAACAAGAATTCAAAAATATATCCAGCAGGCTTAGACTTAGATTAAACATATTAATAAGTGTAGGGCCTACGATATATTGTAATTCATATACGAATGACATTCATAATTAAATCTCCGAATTTGTTGGCTTAAATTAATGACAAACGAAATTAGTGAAACATTCTTCAATCTGGATTTGAAAAAAATTGTAAAATCAGAAAAGTGATCTTCAAAAAAGAATATATACGTCCATGACAATATTATTGTTTTATGCAACTAAATAAATGCAAGTAATGCCACTTAGTGGCTAAATGATACGGTATTACAGAACGAATTTTCACATTTAAAATGTTCAAATATCTAGGATTACAAAGCCTATAAGCAGTGGCGTAGCCACGGGGGGGGGGGGGGGGGGGGGGGGGGGGGGGGGGCGACCCCCTCAGTCGCCCCCCTCAGCGACCCCCTCAGGGCGATCCCCTTGTCGACCCCCTCAGTCGCCCCCCCCCCCCCTCCCAACTGAGATTTTGAGTTTCTAAAAAAATTATCATTGATCTATATACATGACGCCCCCCATATACTCCTCACAATAAGCCCAGTGTTAACAATATTTCTCGTTGTGGGTCTGAAAATGAACAGCCCCCCCCCCCCATGAAACCTTGTCGGCCCCCTCAGTCGCCCCCCCCCCAACTGAGATTTTGAGTTTCTAAAAAAATTATCATTGATCTACATGACGCCCCCCATATACTCCTCACAATAAGCCCAGTGTTAACAATATTTCTCGTTGTGGGTCTGAAAATGAAAATTGTCGATTTGTGTATTATGAATATGATCAAGTGAAATTATTTATGCAGTATTTTGCCCATTTCCCTCAAATTGCATATTGTAATATTGTACATTTTTATCAATTTGCTAGAATATGTGATACCTCACCAACAAGTGTCTTTTAACGAAATTCAATCAGAATATTTATCAATTTAAAAAAAAAATTAGTTGTTTTGTTACATGTTGGTGTCCCTGCCACACTGTACGATGGTGTAGCCGTGCGTTATGCACGTGGATTGTACTTTCGTTTTGACGGGGACTTTACTGAATAGAATCTGGTGACTGTACATAGAAATTTCTTTGAATAAAAGTTGAATCGTTCATTCATGTGCACTTTTTATGCAAAGCAGGGGCAGTGGTTCAAGGATATCTATGTCGACTTGCAGAAAGTGTGAAAGAACGCGACTTGAATGCTTTTATGTGTTCACAATACAAGGACGCTGTTTAGTTATTTCGCTGTGTGACACAGTGAAACATTTTGGAATCATAATGGCGTCAGCGATACTTGCTGGGGAGATCTTGCGTACGACTTTCTGTACTTTGGTACTGTTGTTTCCAGGACAATTGTGTGTATGGTAACCCCGGACCCGACGTACCCAGATTTTTAAAGACGAAATTGCCGACCTCAAACTTGTTAGTGCCATATTTGGAAACTATATGTGCGCTATTAGTTTAATTAAACAAATGAACAGGTTAATTAAACATAGTACCATTGAAGGTACCTAAAAGTAAACATAACAGCATAGAACTTAGAAGACCGACAGACGAACATAAAATGTTACAAAATAAACATATTTGTCTGGATAATTTTTTAGGGCAAGTTAACACAAACTTGGTGTCAAATAGATCATGGGAGTTACTTTTCTTTGACTTTTCATACAAGTTTACATAAACTTTAACTGTATGACCTGCAGTGGCGTAGCCACGGGGGGGGGGGGGGGGGGGGGGGGAGAGGGGGGGGGGGGGGGCGACAGTCCCCCCCCATGAAACCTTGTCCCCCCCCACTGAGATTTTGAGTTTCTAAAAAAATTATCATTGATCTACATGGCGTCCCCCATGAAATGTTCCAGCCCCCCCCCCCCCCCCCCCCCCCACTGAAAAATTCCTGGCTACGCCACTGCCTGTAAGTGAAAAAAATGTATATATTTAAAGTTTTTTTTTCAGACAAAATGTTATTCAGTTGCGGATTATATGCCATAAACAATCTGTATAACCAACATTCTTCTTGAAAAATCGTAAAGGATAATCCCTTTATACACACAATGCATTTCATTTTATGAAATGAACACGAGTGTGGGTTAACAAACTATCAGGACTATTATTCCCTGACACAAATCGAAATCTAAAGAAATATGAATTAGAAGTAAACAGACTTAAGCCAACAAATCGAGCAAATTAATTCTTTTCTCGCGAAAAAAACCCATCACGTCAATCTATTTAACCGTACATTATCACCACCATCTCGACTTATACCGTCGCAGAGCTGACAAACCGACGAATAAGCGAAAACCTTGTTTGGAGTAATTCGCGTTTGAAGTTGGACAATTCTCCGGGCGCCGTATTTTACCCTTAATGTTTCGATAAAAAAACTGTTAGTATATATTCTGAATAAAATATGAAACTAAGTATCCACCAGGTCACTTATTTAATCAGAGAAGTTGTGCGATATGATTTTATTTGATCGTAAACGCATTCGTCAGTTTGTCAAATTACATTAATCTGCAATATCCGGTTGTTCTTCACACTGTTTGTACGCTATTCGTCAGTTTGTCGGATCGCGCGTGCACGCACGCGCAATCCAACAAACTGACGAATAACATTCGTTGGTACTTTGAACGCACACCTTACATAAGCTGGTTACCAGCGAAATGTTTGTATGCTATTCGTCAGTTTGTCGGATCGCGCGTGCACGCACGCGCAATCCGACAAACTGACGAATAACATTCGTTGGTACTTGGAACGCACACCTTACATAAGCTGGTTACCAGCGAAATTTCGTGTTCGTCACTATGTCAAATTATGGATTTGTTTTTGTGAGTGATTCGCCACAAGGGGGGCTCTGAATCTCAAAATCCAGACAAATATTAAGAATTTTGGCATAAATACTTGAAAGAGCAACCTTCATAAAGCCTAAAAATAACAAAAGATCGAAATCGCCAAAATGGTCGATTCGCCGGTTTGTCAGCTCTGCGACGAATATTACTGACGACATGCAGAACAAAAGTAACACGAATTAGTTAGTAAATTTATACCACCAATCAACAAATAGGGAAACTGCACCAAATTCACAAATATAAATATAGCAACATGATGGAACTCAATTTTTTTTCTCGATTTACTGAAGACTTGTAGGCCTAATACGTAACTCGAGTTGCAAATTACATGCAATAATATAACGAATGGAAGATACCGAATATGAAAAACCACACTAAACATACAAAATGAAAATATAGCAATCAAATGGGTTTCACAGGTGTATTACAATGCTTACATTGAATAGTTCAAGCTAAACATTCATAATATGTGCTCTCATTAGTCCTGCAACGAGACATAATTAAAGAACTGGAAACTTTGAATGATGTTTTAACTACATATTAAATGAAATCATGTAACGTACAAGGTACAAAGCCATTGTTTGGCAGCATAAAATCAATACATGTACATTGATTCAGTGTGAACCGAACAGTAGCGCCTTGTGACGAAGTGATGTTCGATAGTGCTGAAAAGCGGTCACTTTTATAGCCTGCTCTTGGACGGCCACATCACGAAGAGTGACAGCATCTGCACATGAGTAGGTAAAGAGACCTGAACGGTGAATCTGTACGGTCAGTGCATGTTTTAGCTAGGATTACCCTGGCGTTATGTTTAAGTGAGGAATATCCTAAAACTGGTTAGGCAATCTTTCAACTGTAGAACTTAAGATGGTGATGAGGGGTGGTATGAGCCAAGTGTTTATCAGTCATATTGTGAGCTTCGTTCGAATGTAGGATTCAGCTAGAGTTATGCATCGGTAGGACATGAGCGGTCAAACCTCGTATGTGACTCACTTAAAGTCTATCAATGGAAATAACATCACATCTTAATCGCCATGGAGACCGACCTCCTCCTTATCCTGACTCTTGACTCCTCCCATGGACTGCAGCAGGGCTGAGGGTTGGGGGATGTCGTTCCAACCGCGACGCAAGATACAGCCAAAGACGGTCTTGAAGTCACGGTGCCGTATCCCATAGATGATGGGGTTGATGGAGCAGCTGGAGAACAAGATGGCACTTGCGTACGCTAGGGCTGGCTCGAAGCTTCTATTGGCTCTGCAAAGGGCATATGGTGTCATGAAAATAATCGTGGCACCCAAAAGAAACGGCATGGTCTTGGTGATCATTTGAGTCGGGCCGACGATGTCCGAGGACGTGGCTGGTACATGGGCGTGGCGGCGAAGGTGACTCCAGATGAGCACGCAGCAGACGATGATGCACACGAGGGGGATAGGGTACAAGCCAAGAACTCGGATGGAGTTGTAGGTTTTGCAGCCGGGAGTGAATTTGCTACCACAAAGGTGGAACTTCTCGTTGAAGCCGACTTGGCCCACTTTGATCAGTGGTGGCACAACGACGACTAGGCACGGGATGAGCCAAGTGACCACCATGGCCGCGGCAATCTTCTTGGGCGTGAAGAACTTGGCCGTCGGTCGCGTGATCAGCAGCATGTGGTTCAAGCCGATGGCAGCCAGCGTGTAAAGGCCAACGCCGATGGTGATGGAGATAGTAACGGTGGTCACACTGCAGATCCACTCACGATCACCACGGGGTAGGTCGCCCGTACTCAGCAGAACTACCACATCCCATGGAAGCACCAAACTGCACAACAAATGGGCAACGCTCATACTGAAAATGAAGGCGGTGGTGGTTGTCTGCAGCACTTTCGACAGAAGCACAGCCCCGATCACCAGGGAGTTGCCGATAATTCCTACGAGTGACGCAGTTCCAATCATTATGGCTACCACGACTCTCTGGTTGTAGTCACTGAATTCGGACGGTTGGCTGTCCGTTGAACTAGAAGTATCCATGACGGTGTAAAAATGGCGTTGCCTGATCAGAATGTGTTAGAAACAAACAGTCAGGGATGAGTTGCGACGACCACTGAGCCTACATGTAAAGTGAACCGTTGAGGGAGAGAACATTATGAACGCAGTGGCGCATGGCCCATCGCACGGTCGACTGAGTTTTCGCACACGTGTTAGTGCATTACAACAAGTACATGTAAATGGCCATCCTCCATACAAACGATCAGCGTTGAAATACGCGCTGTATTCACACACAGATGGGTATAGGCTAATGCATACACCCTCGACTTACTGAAACCATAACTCCTAAAAGAAACGGGTACTGAACACAGTAACTGTACCCAATGTAAATTTAGTTTGTCTGCTTGCTGTAGAAACCAAATATTTCTGCTTGTGGAAAAATGTTAAGTACGTACTTTTCGAATTCAAAACGACAGCAATTGCACTTCGGGCACACTGACTATGTCAGACATCCAATAACAATACATGCGTTTCATGGTGGCCGATTCGCTCGGCCAGGTGGCATACGGGGCAGTCTATTTGCCTGTCACTCACGAAGTTTATTCAGAAAGTAACTGCACAGCTAGTTGCTGTCAACTCTAGTGAATATTCAAACCAAATTTGAACGAAATTCACCAAAATTTTATGTACGTAGTTGATCGACTGTATAATCGGCCGATAACCCAATTTTGGCTTGTGTGTGCGCCGGGTGCGCGCGCGCGTGCAGCTTGTTCTTTACGTGCGGTACTACATGCTGATTGGCTAATGGTCATTTGTTTACTGCATTTGCACGCGGCTAAATCAGGACACCGCGTATGCGCTTAATGTGTATTCATTACTTCCCAAATCAGCCAGTGCACGCTGTAATTGGCTGTATGTAAATGAAATGATGATATCAGAGCTCATTAAAGTTTGTCACCTCGCCAGGGCCGTGCGTACTTGTTGTAATGGTACGCCTTATCAGCCATATGGTTGCTAACCGCAAAGCGTCGCCGTTGTTAGACAAAGCTAATCCGATTACGTACTTAGACGCTATAACGGAGTTTCTCAGAAAATATGCTCGGTATGATTGAAATGTTACATTTTAACTGAAGATGAAATTCTAAACTTCATGTCAATGAAAAATCGCCGCCATCGATGCCGAAACCTCCACACTGGTTACTGTCAAAGCTGACCTTCATGTCGAAGAAATCGTTCTAAAACATCCCCAAATGTATGTATATGTCCCAATTTATCCCAGTTGTTATTTCACGAGTAGTTGAACACTTATATCATCTAAGTATATTCCGAATATCAGCTTAATCTGTTTTTGCGGACGCTAGTTTGGCAACGTGAACCATCTCCATGGAAAATTTCGAAGACGATCAAAAAAATTCAATTTGCGACCCATTACAACCCATGTGCGTTGTTCAGCAAAGCGCCGTAGGCGCTATATGGCTGACTGATTTCGGCCCAGCACACGATAATGACGAGCATTTTATTAGCATATTCATTAGCGTCACTCGGCGTGACATGGCGTGGGTCTCGGTATCGACCAATGGAAGCCGGCAAAAAGTGTTATATTTATTAATTAACAACTCGTGCAGGAGGCTTTTATCCCATTGTTTACTGCATACCGTAATGGATAGGAACCTCCTTAATGTTCGTGAGGCTTGAAAGATTGATGGATATTGCGCACACCAGTGTTACAATATTCAAAATTGCACGTAGCGAGGCCTAATTTTCCAATTTCAACGAAAAGTAACGAACTATCACTACGACTTGTAGCCAATAGTTGGATCATTATATGAGAAATAAATCCTGAAAGTTGCATGAAGATACGGTCTTCCAAACTGGAGAAATTAATTTTCAAAGATTTCACCCGCCAGCTCGACCATGTCTGTGTACATGTAGTTTCATTCAAAATAAAGTGTCACGTCATCTTTAGAAATCGCCCTTCGCAACCATATGGCTGTTATATAGGGTTGCACCCCTGTAATCTGTATTAAAATTCCCATAGACACCAGCGCTAAATACCCATACTTCAAAATTCTTTCGAAAAATAACTCTGACAGCTTTTTAGGCTGCACAGAAAAGTGATGATCAACATGTCATCTTTCATTTTCTTTTGAATGTGGGTTCATCACAGACTTTTTGAGAAATCCTCACCCAAAGAGGACGACCCCTATTTTTCCCAAAGTGGAAAAGTAGCCATCGTGAAAAAGATCCCTCCACAATATAGCAAAATAGCGCCACTTTCGAGCCCAATAATCCAAAATGCTTTAAAATTGGAAACCCCAATTAGTTCGGGCCAGAGGTTCATTTCCAAGTTCAATTTTCAGAACTCTTTTACAAAGAATATTTTGACTTGTTTCCAGGTGTAGGCCTAAGTACAATACAAATATGCAGTCGGGTGTAGCAATGCCGGGGGGTTAGAGATGAACAAGGGCACTCGCCCATGGTCATACGTGCTGAAAGGTAAACAGGATTTTTTTTTTACCAGTAAATTTGTACACTAATGTGCGACATAGTGTGGATGATCGTCGGAATTGAACAGCGCCCGCATTGAAAGAATGGTACCAGCCCGCCCCTTGATTTTACCGGGAGGCCAAGCGTCCGGAGAAAACAAACCTGTCGACATTAAAATCTGACGGGCCTGACCCCCCACCCCCTGCAAAAATATAGAAGGTATGTGAAGATGTTATCAAGACATGTTTAGTTGAATACTACTTTCCTTATTGCGTTCATGGTTCAAATAGGCGACAACATCATTGCGGCTCTATTTGAGCAAGGACTGAAACGACGTGAGATTGTTGACATGTTGGATGGAATTTACAACATTTCTATGACGTACGTACCTATATCTTCTTATTTTTTTGTGTGGAATAAGAATTATAATTATGCTATCCCGGGCCCATATACTTCAACGCTCTTTCGAATGTAGTATGTAACCCATTCTCAGTCATTTTAATGTTGAGAATTTTGAAACATACACTTTATAAATCGTCACCAACATCACGAAGTAACACTCTACCGTGTTAAAACCATATTTTTTTTCGATTTTCAGTTTTTTTTTTATTTTTAAACATTATTCATCAAGGCCTACCATTGCACGAAGTTTCAAAGCTTCAAGAGCTTTACTTTAATAATTACGCTAAGTATCCATGGCAACTTTTGCGCAAAAGTGACAATTTTCGTTTTCACGAAGTAACACTCAAGTTCCATTTACCATTGCAATGCATGGCGCGCACTCTGCTCATAAGTGAGCAAAAACGTTTTCACGAAGTAACACTCTTCTTGTGACAAGTTGCATGAGCGCGCGCGCGCTGACCCGAAGTTGCACTTTCCCCGTGTTGAATGAAGAGTGTTACTTCGTGAAAACGAAAATTTACCATTTCGCAGCCTTTTCGGTTTCACGAACTAACACTCATCTTTTTTCTCTTATTTCTTGTTTATTTAATACACAAACGGGTGAAAAACAGCAGATTTAATAAATTCAATTCATCAAGTGTCCACAACGAGAAACCCAACAGAAAATACTCTGTCATTTTGACGCAAAGTGTTGTTTTAGAAGGCGTTCAACTTTAGTTGCCGTTTTCTCCGATTGCTAGTTTTTACTGGTATGTAGATGGGTGTTACTTCGTGGTGTTAGTGACGAATTGTTTACAAATCATGTATTTTTATTCAGTATACGTCAACTTCAGCGAATTCTTGCTCGGATTGGCTTGAGACGGCGAGGGGGAGATTGGGTGGAAGCTCCCCCATCACCTGCTGCGTGGACGTATGATATTAATGATATATTCCGAAGCCTAAACATGTCATAACTTAAAGCTATAGTCCATCATTTGTAATTTCTGCATTTTGTTCGTTTGAAGCAACAAAAGAGTTCAAAATCTAATAAAGGATACTGAACAACTAACCTGATAAAGTTTCAGCTCAGCTTCAGCTGTACATTCCGAGAAAAACAGCATTCTAAGATCTCAATTTCAAATTTTGGCAAAAGTTACTGAATCATGTTTTGAATTGCAGCTATACGCGACGTCGCGCACTGATCCGACGAATTATAACAACCGCGCGCGCGTGTGCGTCGTTCCAACACTTGCGCGCGCTGCGCTGAATAACAAAACGAACTACTAATTTAAATTTTCCTACGGTGCTTCTTTAAGAATCACCGTTGGAAATGCCTTCTTTCGTTGATTACTTCAAAATGACAGCTTCCCAGAAAGAATAATTTCACAGGGAGTTTTAGTTCCCTTACTATCTTTCAACTAAGTTTGTTTTTCAACAATAATTACGCCAGTTACTTTTCGGATGGCTGCAAATGATGGACTATAGCTTTAAATATGCAAGTTGAAAAGCAACGCCTAAGTTGTACTGTATGATTAAGGGTTGCTTTTATTTATTGGTCCATCTCACCTCTCGGCTGCTGTGAACAGCGCAACTCTAGCTGAATTCACTGGACACATCAGTAATCTATATCTACCAGTAGGCCTAGTCTATTTCCAAACTATTTCCATGTATCCGGCAGGATATTTTGCTGACTTAACCAATGGAGATGGAGATGGAGCGTTTTTAGGAGAAAGAATTGTTAAAAGGCGAATCTTTTAAGCCCGTCGCACAACAATATTGAGGTACGTGCTGAGCAAATTCCTAATTCCTCCATGGTCGCACATGGTATATTTTTGGGGGGCAATAGAGATATGATTATTGTTGAGTTTTCTGATTCGTTAGGCCGAACATATGGGACTACATGTATATTTGCATGAGTCAGGCAAAAATCCCCCTCTTCGAGTCACCTCGCGAGGCGAAGTCACCGTTTACGAGCTGCGCAATGTAGGAAGGAACACACCTTCCTCCATAAACAACCGGTCTCGAATGACTTTTTGCTCAGCACGTAGCTATGGTGTGCGCGAGCAGCGAGTTTTACAGGTTTCATTTTCAAATTGACCAAGATTTAAATTGCTGTAGCTTGGGAAAAAAATAATTCCGAGCTCCTTCGGTTGGGTATCAGCAAGAGTGCCGTC